GTAGCGCTGCCATTTCTTGGTTTTCCTGCCCCTGCCCAAGTGGTTCTTGGGGTGGTCCAAGCTCGCTTGTTGACGTTGCAGCTCCCGGACTGGGCTTGGTGCCCTGCTGCGAGATCGCCCTGCAATCCCTCGCCACGTGGCCGGGGGTGCTACATTTCCAGCACGTGGGGGTCTGCCCTTTGTGCCAAACTCGCAGTTTGTACCGGCCTACGGTGATGGAGCTGGGGACAGCGATTGTGGGTACCATGGTGTAGTATACGATACCTGTACTGAAGGTGCAGCCCTCAACCGTCTTTTTCTCGTTTTTCGCGGGCCCCAAGAGTGTCCCAAAACGACTCAGTGAAGACGCAATGGCCGACAGCGCCATGTCCTCCGGAACTCCAAACACATGCACCGTTTCAGCAGTGCCATCCCCTGGCAACAATTCCAAGGTCTTCCCTTGGGCCGACAGTCCGCGGGAGAGCAACGTGTCACGGGCAGCTGTCGAGGCAAGAGTTACTTTGCACGTACCTCTCCTGCCCTGAATATCAATAACTCGGATGTCCGTGCTCCGAACCTGGCTGACACTCGTACTTCTACACTGGACTCGTCTGTAGCTGTGGTTGAGGATGCGGTGGGCCAGTCATTGGGCTCCGTGATCCAGGTTGGTCCGCCCCTCCAGAACGGACTACGGATCTGCTGTGCACTACTCCCACGCGACGGTAAATCTGCTGGGTTGTGAAGGCCCGGGCAATGGTTCCACACAATGCCGACCTTCTTCGATATCTCTTGGACTTGACTGACGCGGTTAGCCACAAATGTTTTCCATTTGTACGATGGATTACTGATCCAATGAACGGTAGTGAGACTGTCAGTCCAGCCATAGACTTGCGTGACGGTAACACGCAGCTCCTTCACCACAAACTCAGCGTAGCGAGCCGCTAAACATACTGCTTGTAACTCAAGGCGGGCTAACGTGGGCGGAGACACAGGTGACACTTTGGCCTTGGCAAATACCAAGTGCGACTGTCCATTGACGACTGCATACAAACAACATCCAAACGCTTTCTCACTGGCATCGGCGAAGGCATGAAGCGCAATCGGCGTGTCAAGATTGCAGCAAATCCAACGTGGTATGTCAATGCTCACCACTTCGGCCAACTCTCCCCACCATTGCGCACATGCGGCTGCGATGCCATCAGGCAACATATCATCCCAGTCGCCTCCGACTTTCCAGGCTTGCTGTAGCAGTATCTTTCCCGGCACAACTGCCGGTGCTGCTAGACCTAGCGGATCAAACACTGATGCAACACACTTGAGGAGGGATCGCCGGGTCCAAACAGACGGCCTATCGGACTCGCCTAGCGCTGCTTTGCTGAGCAAGTCATCACTGGTTTTCCATTTCAGACGGAGGACTTTATCTCCGGCCTCTGGATCGCACGGGATTTCGTTGCCTCGCCACTTGCGTAACTCCATGCCAGCATCCGTAAGCACACGCACGCTGAACTCTTGCATCTCCTTGGCTTCCGAGGCATTTGAGACACTAGAGACCAAATCGTCAACGTAGAAACTCGTGAGCAAGAGATCAATACGATCTCGCTCTTTGGGTGCAGACAACGCCCGTAGCTCCTTCAAGTGATGCTGAATCACCGCAGTAAGCATGTACGGCGAGCAGTTTACGCCAAATGGCAGTTTCGTTAGCCTCCAGGTTAACAGTTCATCGCTGTCGCTTCGACCGGGCCACAAGAAACGCAGGTACGGACGGTCTTCGGGATTAACCGCGACCATGAAGAAAGCCTTGCGGATGTCCGCTTGCAGCGCGCTCTTATATTCACGGAACCGTAATAGCATACCTGCGAGACTCGGCAATAGCGACGGTCCAGGGTCAACCATGTCGTTCAACGACTTGCCATCTGGAGCCGTCGCCGAGGCATTGAACACCACTCTTAACTTCGTGGTTGCAGCGTGCTCGCGGAATACACCATGATGCGGTACATAGTACCCGGCATCGCTCTCACATGGCTCCAGCTCAATTGCTCCAAGCTCGCGGTACTCCCTGATCAGCACATCATCATAGAGCGCACGCTTCCCATTCCTCTTCAGCTTTTCAAGAAGCCGCGTTGCGATGACTCTAGCTTGAGCAAAATTATCCGTTGGGCGACGCTCATTTCGCCACAAGAGACCCACTTGGTACCCTCTGCCCTGGCGACATAGCGGGAACGATGGCAGGTGCTGATGTTGTTCTGGAGGTTCATCCAACTGCCATAGTTGTGCAATGTGGGCTGTGACACATGACACGGTCACCGGGTGACTGTTTCGACTTGGTGCAGACGCTGGACCAGATAATACATTACCTATCTCTGTGTTCCACACCGTCTCACCATTAACTTCCTTCTTGCTGTGCAGTACCGCGTTGATATAGTCTGCACCAATCAGCATATGTATTTCGTCTGATGTCCCTTGTTGAGGCTTGTCACTCAGCTCTACTCCCCAACTGTGCCACTGGGCAATGGTCTGCGGACTTGCGCACTTCAGGTCCATCTCAAGCGTTGGTTTCATGAACGCGCGTGCCCGAATGCTAGCGGAGCTACCCTGGATCGTGATGGCGTACTTATCCATGCGCTTGTTGGGTTGGTTCCGCGCCGAACGGCTTCACCTCTACATTTTCACCCCCAACGTGTTCTGCATCGATTGCTGACACCAACGCTGCAGTCACGAATGACGCCTCAGCACCCGAGTCCAGGAACACGCGAACCTTCGCGTTTCGAGTTCTTCCCTCAACTCGTGCCACTCCGGTCATCAGCCGCACACTTGGCGAGTGTAGACAGCACGACCCAACATTCTTCTCCGTAACTATCTCAGTCGGTTTCTCCCGGCTGTAACCTGCTCTATCCAACACCTCATGTATTAGCAGGTGGTGTTTCCTCTGGCATTTCGTGCATCTCGAGCCTGACCGACATTCTCTGGCCATATGGCCATACTTAAGGCAGTTCCAGCAGAGTCTCTCTCGCTGCAGAAAACCCTTTCTCCCTTCCAGTGGCAGCGACTTAAGCTGCTTCACTGCATCTGCGACCGATATCGCCATGCACTGTGCCGACGCCGTGGGCCTTGGCACGGATCGTTCTACTGGCTTCCTGGCAGTATCACCCTGTCGTCCGTGCGCGACCTGGTAAGACGCGCCGTGCTCCTGTACCTGGCGCAGTGACATCCCGTAGCACTGCCGTTCGACCAGGTACGTCTTCATCTCAGGTCCGCATTGCTCCAAGATTACCTGCTTTGCCATTGCTTGCAGCACCGGGGACATTTTTCCTATATCGGCGCTATACTTGGTGTCCACCTCGCCATCTTATGTCATAGCGAGTGTGGCCCACACCTCTACCTCTCGGCAAACACGGACAACGTATTGGTGAAACGACTCATCTGACCGCTGCTTGCCTGTCAGCAATGTCTTCCACGCTTTATCCGGAGTCTTTCCGAGCGAGGCGAGCAATTCTCGCTTCGCTTCCTCGTAATTATTGCATCCAATACATATCCTCTCCGCTTTGCTACCCGCTAGCGCGATGCGCAGTCGCAGCAGCCATTCGCTTTCTTCGAACTCGTTCTTGGAACAGATGTCCTCGAACAGGTCAAGATAACGCTCCAATGGCTGCGTTCCATCATATGAGGGGATTTTCATCAACGGTTGACGCCCCCCGCTATTACTGGGAGCTTCCTCTGTACCTCCCATCGCGGCTTTACCATCACCCTCGTACGAATTGGCGATGCGCTCGTTGATCTCCTTTAGTGTTTTGTCAAACTCGGTGCGGAGCGCCTCCTCTCGCCGTCTGGCACTGCGCTCCTCACGCTCCTCGTACTGTTGGAGCCTTTGCTCCACATGTTCCATCAACAACTCGCCTTCTAATCCTAACCGAACTCCATTGGCGATAAAGCTATCTTCCAAATTGTGTAGTTGCTCTGCCATGCTCGCTCCTATCCTGGCGTGGTCGCCAAATGTTGTGAACCCTCTAAGATTCTCTAAATTGTCAGGATCGTACGACCACACGGCACGAGGACAACTCTTTTCCTTCACACAGTATATTTCACTTCATCGAATAATTAACAATGAACACTAATAACACCAGCTATTTATAGCATGCAAAAACAGCGTACATGCAAAAACATACGCATATAAAACTGGACATAACAGCGTATACAGCAAAACGCACACAGCGCATATAGCGTATGCCATGCAGCAACATCAGCGGTACGGCGGAGTCGAAATACAACATTTCAACGAATACAATGCCATAAGCGCGAAGGCCTTTGAGAACTGGTGGTTTGCAACACTTCTGTTATTCGTTTTTCTTTGTAATTTTCCATTCATTTTCTGCTTTAATTCATATTTGCTTTGTTTTCTTAGCTTACTATTGCCGTGGCTGGCTCAACGCCCTTATCTCAGGTGATTCTGTCCCTGCACTAACTATGCTTGTCACATGCTATGAGATTGTGTCTAATAATAATAATAAACCCTAGCGGCAGCTGCAGTGCCTAACGAAGGGGGTTAGTGGATAAGTCCCACAACCACTGGCACAAGTGGCGGGAAAGTTCCCTTTATCCGCATCTATGTACCCCTTGTGCCTTGCCGTAAGTTCCCAGTTGACTGTGGGGTGCAGCACGGCTGAAGAAAACCACTCCAAGGCAGGACTTGAACCAGGTGCCTCTCGTACCTCAATCATGGTCTTTGATCAACCCACTGTGCCTGCCTGGTTTCCGCATGTATTACCTCATAACTAGTCTGATCGTAGGGGCACCATGTGAGTCAAAAGGCAGCCCAAAAGAACAGCAGAAAAAAATTAAAATAATGCAAAACTATATAACTAAGCTTATACACAAGCTGCCTGTATAGACCAATATGAGCAGCGACGAGAGAAAGAGAACTTTACTATTCATTAGTAGTCATACATTTAAACATAAAAAAAGGAACTGCGTTTACGATTCAGTTTCGCCTTATTTATGTCAACTCTATGATCAATGTGTTGCAGAACACTGCTGATGGATTCAAAGCCGAACACATCTATTATGCCGCCGTCAACGATGGTCCCGTTCATGACAGAAAGCAGGGTTGACGTATCAACGCCTTCCACATGATTTCGAGTCACCACCATTAGTTCTTTGCAACCTGCGATCAATTCATTGGCATGTTTCAATCTCTCCCTGCCACGACCACCCCCCAACCCCCCCCCCCCACCCTCCCCCCCCCCCCCCACACACACACTCCCCCACCACGCCCCAATCACTGAACGACGTGCACATCCACCCCGTGCAGCGGTATAACATTTGTGTAGTAAACAGCCTAATCATGTTTTAGTGTAGATTAATTTTTTTCTGGAATAGCAAATCAAAGCGAGTTGTTATACCTGTGATCATATCTTTCCCACAACCAAGATAAGATACAACGACACTGTTTATGTTTGGAGCCTTGCATTGTTCGTACTTCGGTCAAATCTTATTTTTTCAACATTGACAGTTTTGTTTATCAGTTCACAGCCTTGCCCATAAGATAGAGCCTGGCAAAGTTTGTCTCAGGGTGTGTGAAAGAATGTCTATAGATGATCATGTTTTAGCAGCAAACGTTTCTCTTTGTTCTGTATTGCTAGAATCAGATCTTTTCCCCCACCTAAGTCATACACATGTTAGGCACTCGGCCTGGCAGTTTGTTGTAACCTCGTTTTATTGGTGAACTTGCTCTGCATGCTACTGAGCCTCGGAATGACGATCTGAGTAGCATGTTTGCATTGTTCTGGACTACATGCATTTTCACTTTGTTCAAACCGTTACGCTTCAAAATTCTGTAGAATGCCTCGCGCAGCTTCATTACAAATAATATCATTTGCTGATAGGCAACTCGCCAAAACTCAATCAAGTCGATAGATCGCCATACCGTCTGTTTTTAGTGGAACCTGTATTAAGTAACTGAGTTTTATGTTTCGTTACATTGTCGACAGATCTCCTGTGTACCGGTTTTGTGGCACAATGATTATAGCTATTATATTTTGTCGTCTCCATTCTTGTGCAATCATGCATATGTAGGTTGGTTCTCTTCATGTTATTGTGACCGATTTCATAGTTGTTCGTTGCCTTGTTGCGTTCTCTTCCCTCTCCTCTCACCCAAGCCATTCTGCATAAGCGAAGCTGTGGACGCAGCATACTGCTGCTACACTTCAACGCAGGAATGCGTATAATAATAATAATAATAATAATAATAATACCGTCTGTTTACAAACTGTTATTAACCTTTGGTCCCATTCAAACGAACACTGCATTCTTACACGCATTGCACCAGTTGTTTCGGCGTGTCATGTGCATTTGGTATTATCTATGCAGTCTATGAACAAACGTTTCGGAGTTAGAAACATAAATATCGCAAACAAGTGGACAGACAGTGAGCATCAGAGGTACTCAGTATTTAGGGAAGATGCATAGCTAAACTACACGTGACACTCGGGTGGAGAGCCTAGGATTTAATATATATCTGTTAATGGAAATTATCGCGTAGCCTATTGTTCCATGGGCCTCATTTCTTCTTATCAAGTACATGTAAGAGAGATACAAATTAATGTGGGGTACAAAAGCAAAAGGAGGAAATGTTTAGAACAGTTGTCCAGTTACGGTCATCATTCAACGTACATACCGATTGGTGAAATACTCAATGAACAATATTATTATGGAACAGAAACCAGGGCGAAACTAACAAAAAAAGGAAATTATCGTGTCCGGTCCCGAAGGGAACTCACGACGGGCGCTAAAGCCCGGTAAACCGTACAACTCGGTGAATTGAATGATAGGAGCATGCACTAAACACGCCAGGCGAAAAGGAAAAAAATAATAAACAAAGTGTTGTTCGCCTCCCCTCGATTGACTGTTCGTGTGATAGTTTAAACTCCAACGCATTTTCTCCCTTTAGAGTGCCACTGACTTCCTGCAATATACACATTTCCGTTAGTTGCCATTGGACAAATCATACCTCAGAAACCATTCACTTTGTCAAAATAGCAACATAATATATGTTTTCTGAAAGGAAATTTATTATTATTACCTGCATTTACGCGTTGGAGTCTACCATGCAAGCATGATCCACAACTTCGCTTATGCTGAACATGATAAACAGGACTATGACAGGGAAAAAATTGAGCTAGAACGATGATAATAATAATTATGATACTTATATTATAATAATATACAATGTAGCTTATGGGTATTGAAGATATGTTATTTATGAATATGTCTATAATTATGAATATTGCAGCCTGAGTGATAATGATAGTGCTGTTTCCTGAGTTTGACTGTTTCAGGATCTGTTGGAATATGACAATGCACAGACCCTCATGCGTAGATCTCGCCATGCTGGTCTGCCATGGGCAATGGCTCCCAGGCTCTGCAGAGCGTCTACTATTGAACAATCCAGCATTGGCTTGGCGCAGATCTCCCACCATAAAAACTACAGCCGTGAACCACGTAGAGGAAAGCTACACAAGATGGCCAACCCATTTTCACATGTACAGACAATTTGCAAAAACGTTCCGAACATTCAGGGAGAAGACATTACTTGCATGACACATTGGCAGAACGAACAAGGCAGACTCGAACATTCCAAGATTCTGCAGCCGTTGCGTTTCAGGTTTTGGGTGGCAGCTCCGTTACTGAGGCCGTATACAAGTAGTCGAGCTCGGCTAGCCGCCGCCAACTAGTCAGCGCAACCTCGGCCACGCGCTCGCATTAGCTCCATGCCCGCGTTGACGGAGCTCCGGGTGACCAACAAGCCGAACAGCTGCAAGTCGCGACTCCACAATGACACTGGCCGTCCGCGTGCTCTAACACTCCGCTCCACTCGTACTCCCTCTTAAGCCGTTTCGCTGCTCGTCAAGCCCTGCAGGTAACTTGATTTCTTGAAGGGTACAGACGTCTATGCCGTAGAAAGAGAGGCACCGACACAAGGAGTTCCTCTTGACGGCCGACATGAGGCCCCGCACATTGAAAATTCCGACAGCAATTTTTTCTTTTCCTCCGTAAAGCGTTCGTTCATCAGCTCATACCATTGATTCCCGTCGCATCGTCATGTCACTAATGTCCGATGGAAACTGCTCCCCAGTTGCGCGAGGAGACTGCATTTCCTCCGGTGAGCGAGGAAGAAGAGCGGAGTCACCCAACTCATCCACGAAAGGTAATACACCAAGGAATTCGAAAATCACATCATTTTGAGCATTGGCTCGAGATATGTTGCCAAAACTGATGCGAAACCTTTAAATCCAGCAAAAGAACAAAGTCCCGGCTTTTGTCGATGGCACCAACAAAATGTGCAGCACTAAAAAGACAGGAGAAGACAGGAAAAGTAGTAACAAGTGTTCAGCAAACACTGCTCTACGAGAACAATGGGAACTTTAGCCAACTTAGTGATAGCGATCGAAACAGTCTTGCTCACCGACGTGCAGCAACACTCCGCAGACTTTGCTGTACGTGACGACCCGGAGCTCTTTTCCCACTTGGGCAAGCAAGACACATCCTTTTCTCTGCACATCATACTTCACAGTATGCATGAGCACTCTTGCAGGCTGGTTGGCTGGTGGTTCTTCAGGAGCTCCTCGGAAGGAACGATTGGGAGGAGGTTCGTCGACTGCAATTCCGGTAAGTTGTCTGATAAGATGCTCCTGGAATGAGTTGTGGGGATTATTATTTTATTATTATTAGACACAATCTCATAGCAGGTGACAAGCATACCTAATGCAGGGACAGAATCCCCTGAGACAAGGGCGTTGAGCCAACCACAGCAATAGTAAGCTAGGAAAACAAAGCAAAATTTTATTAATGGTTTGCGTACTGAGTGTGTGGTGTTACCTGGATATGCTGCTAACCAGATGCCAAACATCCTGTTGCTGTCTAAGATATCGTAGAATATGCCTTTCCAAGTCTTCCTGGTCCTCCGGAGCGTCCTGTACGTTTCTGCCATTTGGTAGAAGGTATCAACTCCACCCAGTGCTCTGTTGTAGTGGGAGACGACTTTCAGCTGATACAGTTCCAGTTGGACGTGGTGACCTGCTGCATCTTTGCCATGCATGTTGACAGTAACGTGGTCATCGACCCAGTGCGCGGTTGACAACATGGTGACGACCTGCTTGTCACGCCACTGCTCTTGGTGTCTTGCTAGCTTAATGACGTTGGGGAAGCCACGGCGGTTGGTATGTACATTATTATTATTATTATTATTTATTGCAACATCTCAAGACTCGGCGGAAACACCGGCCAATATTACGAGAGTGGGTGATTGCCTACATTGTCGATAAGGTGGATGTTTTGACTTCTAGTAATGTAGCGAGCTTGGCAGACATGTAAAAAAACCGTTAAGATAACATGCTGCTGGTCTTCTAGGCCATTGGCGAGCCAAATTACTACATCGAGTGCGAGTCCACATTCCGTATTGGCTTCCCCTGTGTACATTTCAAAATATCACAGAATAGCACCAGCGCTGTCGCAGGCTGCAAATACCTTGAATCCCCATATTGGGGGCTTCGCTGGCATGTATTGGCGCATCACGCTACGTCCTTTGCACGGGATCATCCGCTCATCAACTGCGATGTGCTGGCCTGGCTTGAAGAGACTGCGAGCAAAAAAAAACACATTCTACAGGTAGCGAACTTTGCGCAAGCGGTCACCAGGATCCTCTGCTGCATGGTCAACGATTTCCAGGAAACACAACAGGGCCTTGAACCGTCTGCAAGATGGTATCATCTTGTGCACGTAGTTGCCGTTGTGAAGAGAGGATGCATTCCAGAAATCTTCGATCTGTGGGAGCTGGTGCATTGCCATGTGGAGGAGTAGGCCCACGAAAGTTGAGGAAACGAGAAATTTCTGTAACACTGGTCTCTGTCCACTCTCCATTCTTGTTAGCATATGATCTCTTCTGATGAATATGTGCATGCCCATACGCATTCGTGAAGCCGTTGAACTTTGAAACAATTTGAGCTGAGAAGTGCAACTTGAAAAAATAGACTTCGGATGCTTGCACAAAACCAGGTGGCAGTTTCAAACCAGCTTCGGAGTGAGGCTCAAACACAGGGAAGTTTGCTGGATCAGCGTCGTCTGGATCGTTGATTCCTCTCAGTGGACTGTACCCTGCACCGTGGCCACGTCCTGTCCCTCGTCCACGTCCCTGCGCACGACCTTGTCCAGGCAAATT